GGCCACTGTCTGAGACATTGTCCCAGGAGCGGCAGAAGGCCCCGCCGAGGGCAAGGGGGTTTGAGTGCTGCTGCCGCCTCCCGCCACGGCAGCACCAGGGGCAGCAGCTGGCAGGGGCACGGCGGTGCTCTTGGGCACAGCCCCCCCATTGGGGGCCACAGCTGGCGGAGCCGCAGCTGCCCCACCAGCAGCCACTGCCAGCTGCCCGTCCAGGAGGAGGTTGGGAGAGACGCTGCCGGGAGTTTCAGCCTCGCCCACGTTGTTGAGAGTCTCTTCGGAAGAGCTCCGCTCGCAGACGTCCTCGGGGCCATAGTCGGTGGCTCGAGAAACATCAAAGATTTCAGATGACACGTCCTCGGTGCGGGACTCATCCGGGTCATCCAGGCTCTCGGTGTCCTCGGTGATGCTGCTGGCCACCTGAGCCGTGGTCACGCTGGTGATCTGGAAGCAGCTCTTCTTCTTGGCCGGCATCTTGGACATGTTTCCTCCGCGGGGAGGGGCTCCGCCAGCTGGGGCGAGGCGAGCGCGGTGCCGAGGCGGGCTGTCACGCGCACGGGCTTCCCAGGAGAGAGCACACCGCAGCGCGGGTTTTCCAGGGTCTGCTCCCACTGTGCAAATCCCATTCTGTTGATTTTTTTCCACAGCCACGTCATGCTGGTGATTCATACCCAAACCGTAAGGAGCCTACCTTTGGTGTCTTCAGGTGCTCACCTCATAACCCCCTGATACGATATGTAAGTTAACATTCTTTTATATCTCATTTCTCTTATTCCAGCCACCGTTGTCATTAGGGTTTTGTTGGATGGTGATCTGGTCCCGGTTTGAACAGTCACATCGTGACACTGTACCCTTAACCTATCCTGGCTTTTTCTCTAAGGTCACAAAGTGCTTTAAAGGCCAGTGATAAAATGTGGAAGATGCCCACTACTAGCTTCCCTTCAGCTCAAGTGTTCCCGGTAAATGCAACAGTTCATGGAATTTTGCGTGCTAATCCATCTCTTCTGTATCTGTTTCCACTAATATTTTCCAGTATGATACCATATCAAATACTCCTCTAGCTTCAGCAGAGATTAAACCTACTGCATTAACAATGTAAGAACTCGTTTATGTTAGAAAAGAGTTTTGAGTTAATCTGGCGTGAACCACCTTGGTAAATTTATCCATTAAAATCAGGCATTTTACAAGAGTCTTTGGCAATTCCACTTTTTTTTTTTTTTTCCCCACTTTAATTTAAAGTTCTTCTCAACCATGACAGCCCAAATTTCAGAAAACTTCTGCAAGAGGTGTTTGGGTAAGTGTCGGTTCATGTTATTAGTGTCCTCCATTAATCAGATATTTCAAACGGTCAGAGCCTCCATCCTTGAACTTTCTGACTTCAGTTATCCTGTCACACCATCTCATTTCTTCCGAGGGAGGAAAGAAGTCTGATGGTCACCCAAGTCTCCATTTCTCTGAGCATTGCCAACATTTTCACCAGCCCGGTGAAGATGCTTTGGTATAATTCAGTGGGAATCTGGTACTGTTGTTTAACCAAATGTAGAAGATAACCAGTGGGGTTTTCTCCATTAGCCTCAGGTCAGTGTCCTGCTGAGTGACAAACCCCAGCTGTTCCGGGTGTACTCTGAGGGGAGGGCTGTCCCTTTATCTATCACCATACACACTGGGTTGTCTCTTCCATGTCCTGAATCCCAGGTTATACCCCATTTGTTCTGCTTTCAGTAGAGCGTTCTGTTTTCTGGTGCCTTGTGAATCGTCCCCATGTGTGTACCATCCTTGGTTTCTGTGCTTGTGTGCATACAGTGTACCAAGACTTGCTTTTCTTCTCATCTTTCTTGGCATTTTGTCTTCTGCCTACTTCTTTTTATGTTAGTATGAACCTTATCTTTGATTCTGCTTCTCTTTGTACTAGCTCATCCCTTATTGTTTCCTGTCCTCATATTCTTCAAAGTTTGCCTTCTAGAGTTTCTTCATTTTCCATATGTTAGGAGATGATGAACTGTCTGTGCGGCATCCTTTTTCCTCCTTAACAATTCTGAATTCCCGTCTGAACTCCATTTGTAATTCTTGGATTTCCTCCTGGTATACAGGAGGTTTTGCTCCTGATATGACATGAGTTCTGTCAGGTAACACTTTATGGAGTAGCATCTACCAGGTACCTGCTGGAGGATAAAGCATATTCTTTATCTCATGTTTACTGCCATCGCTTAGCCCTCTGATGGAATCTACATTCTTAGAATTCATATTTCTGTCCAACCCTGACTTTCAAGAGGGAATAAAGACATCCCCCAAACTTCCTCCCAAACAAATTCCCTCCACCATGCAGTCCTTTGTTTCCTGCACCCTCTGCACTGCGTGATTTCAAATATGCAAGTGTAAGGAAATGTAACGCACACAGTACAAGATCTCTAAAAATGAGTAATATGCTCTTAACACCAAATTGCAATGTTAAAACCTTGTGTTTCAGTCTAGGAATTGTCTTATGTCCATGAGAGAGTGTATTTTTGACATGGGACGTGAGGCATTGGACCTTAAACCTGCCATTACCCCAGGAACTATTACTCCTTGTTCTGCAAGTCAACCGAGTATAATTTGATGAAAGAATGGAACTCTGTATTTGAGCAGAGAGAGCAATGCTGCCTTGGCAAGTTAAGTTTCATTTTAACAGGCAGCATGTGGATGTCTGTGAGTTTTTAAATTAACCACAACAACAGTGGATTGAATAGCCAAGGGAAAGTCACATAGCCAAAGATGTATCATAATGCAATATATTACACAGCACTACTGCTTATACCACAGATATCAAGAGGTCAGCAGGAGTTTTGGGGTTTTTTTTCGGGTTAGTATGAAAGCTGTAGGGAGGCAAAGCAGCTGGGATTGCACGTGGCATAGATCTTCTATAAGTGATGATGATAAACTTTGAATAAAATTTTGCGAGGGCAAGGAATAGGTAGCTACAGGAAATAGTGAAGACCTGAGATAAGTTTTGTATATGGATTTTTAAAATGTCTTCCTTTTCAAACAGAAAGCATTTGGGTATATTAATCCACTACATCCAGGACAGCACAGGATAAAACCATTCTGGCTAGGAATTCATTTTAAAACCACTGTCCCCACAGAGACAAATAATAGGCATATTAGCGGAAAGATGCAGGATTCCAGAACATAAGATCGAGTGGATCCAACAAACACTTTTCAGTCAGTAAGGCAGTCTGGAGGGCTGTTTATCATAACAAAGGGGACACAATCTTCCCCAAACTGGAATAGTTTTGCTTTAAAATGGTACAGTTAAAACGTGCAGTGACACAAGGTGCATATGAAGATTCTTACTGATGGACTGTTGGATTTGTGTGTGCTATTTCATCTCAGTAAAATGTGAAATCAAAAAAGTCTCCCTCAGGAAGTGACATTTTAAAAGCATGCAAGGGAACCTTAAAAGCAGAGGCGGAAGTTATTCTACTAGACCTACCCCTATTTTGATCTTTCAAAATTATTATAGGAAGGAGACTGATACATAATTAGTGGGATGAAGTCCTTTTCCACCTTATAGGTACACAGACCCGTAACAGATAGCATTGAACAACTACCAGCAGGCTGTTGAACAGTAGGCTGCTAAACTGTAAGAACTGATAAGTTCTTCATGACAGCACAGTAAACCAAAATTAAAAGTTATTTTATTCTTATTTTTATGCAATCACTTCATTACTTTAGTGTATGAAAATATATGTTAGTAGAGTAGTGTGGTCTTTTAATTTAGATCTGTCTGAAATTTAAAATAGCAAAGATGCTATTTTAGATTCCATTAATTTGTCACTGTTGTTGTTCAGAATAAATTAACATTTGAAATGATAAAATTCAAAATCCCAGATTGAAACAATCATTTGCTAAATTCTCCATTCTTGAACTGTGTCTGTATGACCATTTTAACATAACCTAAAATGTAATGAGGCATGGGCTATTTGAGTGGTGTTTAGTGTGGTCTAACAAAGGAGAAAGGGAATTTAATAAAAGGTAAAATAGGGAAAGGATGAGGAACAACAATGAACAAGACAGGCTGATTTGCTGACAAACCAGAAAGGTTTCTGAAAAGTCAAGTATAAAAATTGCTACAGCCCATGGCCAGATTAGTCAAGATACACACAAATGGCCTTGGCAGCATTACACTGATAATGTTTTTTCAAGGTTGAATTGGTGCTGAACAATATTCTAGTATGCTGGGCACAAACGTACTGATATTTTTATTAAGCACCAAGCATGTATATATTCCTTTTTTGCCTTCAAGAAAAACAGCTGCCACAGTTAGTTAGAAGAAATTCCCACATGGCTCCTGTTTGAGTTTCTGTGCGTGTCATCCGTGAGGGGCTCTCGTGGTTTCTGTGTGTATGTTCCTGTTGTTTCGAGATCTGGCAAGGGCAGATCTAGCAGGCGGTGGTGAGGGCAGCAGGCTCCTGCGACGTGTGACAGGTTGGTGTAATTGGGCCACACTCTCCCCATCACCCTCTGCCACTGCACTTTCACTAGGAGGATCTGCGGACAGTTTCTTAGCAGTGAGAGCTGTTAGCAGCTTTCCACACTTGTGGTTCCACTCCTTGGGGACTGCGGGTGAATTACCCATTTTTAAGAATCATGCAGCACAAGACGTGTATCCTTCACAAAATCTCTCAGCCTCACAGACCGAGGGAGCAGAAATGCTAGCACAGGTGATGACCAAAAAAGAAGCTCCTCTAGAGTGTAAGCTATGAAGACTGACCATATGTATGTATCGGGTGAAAATGGCACTAACATGTTCTGTTTGTCTGTTTATATGATTTTAAAGGGCAAAAGGTGATCCTTCCCACTGATCAGAGCTCCAGTGTATGAATCATTCAGACAGGGATAAAAGCTGCACTTCAAAACCCCTACACACTGATAGAGTTTACACAGGCACACACATGCTCCCATCTAGAGATGTATTCTTCTCTCTATAAAGATGTGTATTAACAGGTGTATATATAAATTCAAATTTTTTAAAATCCCTAACAGTAACATTAAAAATACACTGTTTTTAAAAAGAAAGCTGTAGGAATCATCAGAGGGATTGGACTACTTATTGGTATCTAGAGTTCATGCGTTCAGGTTTCTTAGCCTTAATACCATTAGGTGATTATTGCTGAAGATTAAAAACTAGCCTGGGGAAGCAGCGTGATCTAACAGATAGGCCATTTACCCCGGTATCAGGAGTCCAGATTGAAATTGTTTGTGTGGAAGTCAGTGGGAAAAGTTCAGGGGATTATTTTTTTAACTTCAGTTTTACAGCTAAATTGGTATTTATCTGCGGTGTGGCCTTGTACAAATTATTTTTCCTTCTTTGTGCCTCTTCTTTTTTATCTCTCCCATCTATCAGCCTGCTTTGTCTGCAGACACAGAGAAGCCTCCAGGGCCCTGCCTGACTTTTTGTGTGTGTTGAGTACTGAGACCTAAATTTTGGTCAAGCTGTGTGATACTGTCTTAGAAGTATGAACATACTGGCACAATAATGGACAAGTGATAAGCAATTCATTTATCACTAGGTTCTTTTCAAATTTTAGCAGAAATTTAGGAGTTAGTAAAAATTAAACTTCCATGTATGTGAATTGAGGTTTACCAGTTTGGTATTTTAAGAGTGCAGGCCCTTTCAGATGACTCGTATCAAGATCCTGCATTAACATCTTAAATTTTAAAATAATCAGAATATATCAGAATTAATATCAGAAATTCCTTTCCTTCACTGTAAACTGTACATTTTCCATTTTATTAAACTAGTGGTGCTAGACAGTAAGACATTTACCCAAATTCTTATTTTTAAAACTCCTCTAAATTACCACAAACGATCTCAAACTGGACTGAGATGCATTGGTAATTTGAATTTCAAGTCCTTTTAATTTCAAGCTGTAAGACATTGACTTCGAGACCTGGAAGACAAATTCCAGGTTACAGATTGCTGGAGGGAAGAAGGGCATAGAAAAGGGCAAATGAGTTACTTGAATGTCTAAGTAGGATTTTTGCATTTATAAAGGCCACTAACTATCAAGAGAACCAGCAAATAGTAGCTGCAGTATTTAGCTTTAGGCTCTTCTTAAAGTCTCATGTGACAGAAAGCATGGAAATTTCCTCTTTCCTGACCCTAACAAAATGGCTCTTTTTGTCTCTGCAGTGGTCATTGTCTTCTATATGGAAAATAACAGGCACTAAATCCAAAAACTAATGAAAAAAAGTTAATATGACCAACAACTGAGAACAAATGGAAACTGTTACACACATGGAAACACATTTAAAGTGCAAATAGAAATGAATAAATGTTAGAAAATCTCAGTTGTTGTTAGCCTGATCCTGGCCCCTTTCAAGTCAGTGGCAGAACCCATTAAATGTCAGTGGGAGCTGTGTTTTACTTAACTGAGATCTGTTAAGATGAACATTTGTACAGATCAACGGACAGGTCTTTAGCATAATGTGCTCTTCTTCATGACGGGTACCTTTACCTTTTCCATACTATCTTGTGCTGCACCTGATCGCGCTGTTTGACACAGAGCAGTCCGGGGCAGGACTTTGCCTCTATTCAGCATAAGGCGTCAAAGACCATAGTGCACAGCTACAGAATTATGTAGATAATTTAGCGAAATGACACCATGATACAGAACTGTTGTCTAAAGACCACTGTTTCACCAGGGGGGTCTGGGGCTGTCACAGACTAGTTATTGTCAGTTAGTTCTGGGCGGAATAAGCCCCTGTGCGGTTTCGCCTCTCTGATCTGGCTGTTCCATTTACACAGCTCATACATACATACTTGCTCCCTGCTGCATGTTGAATCGTTTGTGGCTTAGAGGCAGAAAGAAGAGACGTATAAGTCAAATCTGAGCGCCAAACCCAGTTTGGGATTGCAGTATATTCTTGATGCTGAGAAAAAAACATGCATTTTGAGGTCACAATAAGGCAACTACCATGTGTTGGCACTAGGAATGAATTATTGCTGCAGGAACAACACTTTTAGGGAAGGCATAGAGCAGACCTGGGTTTAGTCCATAGTTTAAAAGCCAGGAAATAAATTCTGGCTGTAGGATAAATAAGTTAGCTCGGTCTGTCTTTTCTTTCTCAGTTTGAACATGAAATAGTTTGTAAACTGTCGATATTTAGTTAATACACTGGAATGCAATGAAATTTAAAGACACACAATTTCATCAATTTGATGCATAAATAGATTAGAGCATTTTCAGCATACCAGTCTTAGGATCAAGTGAAGTCCAGATCAGGTTTCATTTAACCTAGTTAAAAGAGCAATGTGAAGGGTTTCAGATACTTTATGTGGGGTTCAGCACCATATTCACTCATATCTTTTAAACTCATACTAAGTAAAGACTAATATCAATAGGGGAGAAAATCCTCATCTCTTCAACAGATTTTGTATGTCTTAGATCTTGCTGTTTGGCATGAGTGTATTTTAATGGTACATTTCAGGGATTCGTTGCTGGATTTCCTGGAATCTAGGTTGCTCATTTTCTTGAATAATTCTTATTTGAACAGTAAGTAATGACTTTCTTCATGTATAAACAATTGTTCGGGTTTTTTACCAGCTATGTCAGTTGTCTCTCAGTGTTAAAAGCATGAATAATGACAGGACATTTATTTTTTTCATTAAGGTTGGATATTGTCTAAGCAAAAAGAGAATGTACACAAATTTCAGATAGCTAGTCAGATACTTTAAATAACCTGTGGCATGACTTGATCTATAGTTAGAGATCTTTTTGCAGGACTGAGTTCCTAAAGCATAGGTCCTTATGTAATATTTGTAGCATAAAAGTAAGAGGAATTGTGGAGTAGAAAGATGGTCTGTTTTTAAGATGAGAGAGCAGTCACAGTCACATTAGAGCGATTGCAGCTCTATAATAATAATATTTAGATGGCCTATTTAAATAGACCTTCCAGGGAGTCCCAACTGTTTGGAATGGTGATGACTGCTCTCTAACTACCTGGGACAACAGCCATTTTTCTGTATGAGATACTCGGGTTCAAAGGTGAACCTGTGTCTGTGCCCCTCACATTTCACTTCAACAACCGCAGTGCCTTTTCTTCCCCTTTTTACTGGTTAAGCATGCATTCAAGAGCAAAGATTAGAGCTAGATAAATAAAGGTGTGGGGGAACTTCTACATACTTAGGTCCTGAGTAATTTTTGACAGATCTATTGCTACCATATCAGGTGGGACACTGATTAGCCAAAGTTGGTTCCCTGGGCTTTTTTGCATAAACATGCTACATAAAGCTTGCATTCTGCGAGAGCTACAGCTTTTCTGCAAAAGCACAAATGTTGGTTTTGTAGTGGAGAGTGGATTGGTAGATTCTCTGGTTCCAAATGGAAGCTGTATACAAAATATCTACAAAAAGGTAATACTGCTGTGGCCAATTCCAGTTTTTCTCATCAGACTGTGCAGGTACTATAAAAGCCTGTGACTTCACACCTACTGAAACACTCCTGCTGTCAGGCACTAAAATGATGCGTCAAATATAAACCTAAATCCTGCTCACATAAGTTTCCGTTTTTGTGCTGTTAATTTTGTTTTAAAACTTACATAAATAATTCCCCTGAAATCCACTGAAATAGAATTTTCAATGAAATGGATTACTCAGCAAAAATACAAGTGTTAGAAGTAGACAAACAATAGTTGTTTCTGATGATCTCCATTTTGTATCATAATTATTTTATAATGGAACACTTCCATTATAAATTTGATGTAAAGAACAGGCACAGTTTGTTGTCCTTCATCATTAATGCTGCAGAAGTGACTGCAGTATATATCTGTGTCTGCAAATTCAAAACACTTTCAGAGTTCTGCCTTGGGAACCTGAGATGAGAAAACAGAACATTTGGGGAAGTTAATATTCTGAAGCTTGTTGGAGCAAACTGGTGGAAGTGGTACAAACTTACTTCTGGGTTAAATGAAAAATATATCACGATATTTTAAAAAAAAATCACTACTAGGATTTCTATAATAATTGCCTATTTCCTGGCAAGCCCTAGCAGATTCTGCATTAGGAGTTTGATCAGTGGAATTGTCCTGAAGGTGTTAAATAGTGTGGAAACTCATTAGTAATACATTGCAAAAGCAGTGATATAATAGGCATTTTCATTTGGAGGATTATTTTTTTTCTCAGTTGCATTATAAATTAGTCATTCTGAATGGATAAAAATTAGCTTGTATATTTTGCAAGTTAAGACCATAGGGGCTTATATTCTATTAAGGCCTCTGAAAATCATTAAAGACTATTGATATGGAGTGGTCCCCAAGAAGAGCAGCTGTGGGCTCTGCGAGGATCAGTCGGGACTCAGTGACTCCCTCTCACAGAAAGATGGGGGTGGTTGTTGGGTTTTCTCCCAACCCCAGTCACACTCTCACTGATGTCTGGATGAATTTGACAGCATGTGACCCAGAACAGGAGCTGGGCTGCGCAGTGTTGGCATTGCTCTGCAGCAAACGTGGTACCACAGCAGCCAGGCTGACGTGTGGAAGGACATACGCAGTGTTTGCGGCAGATACAAACCAGGTCCAGATCCAGCGCAGCCAGATCTCTGGCTTATCCCGGGGGGAGTCTCGCTCCCGCCAGCGCGCAGACCTGCGCAGCGCACACCCAGTCTCCCAGACACCCGGGTCCTGTCTCCCAGTGCTACAGCGACCAGATTCCTCCTAACACCAGGGCAGAGGCCAGAAAGCGAAGGGCGGTGCTATCGGAGACAGGAGACTGGTGTAACCGGGATGGGTCCAGCACTACGTGTGCACTATCAGGCAGCAGGCAAAGCTTCCTGAACACACAGGTCCGGGTCAGCGGCACTCAGGGGCTGCAGGGAGTCTTCCCCTTCTTGACACCCCTGCCCTGCTCTTACTGCCACTGCTGTTGCTCCTAACATGCTTCCTTTTGTGTGCAATGCAGTCAAAACCCCATTTCTGTTAGCTGTTGCCATTCCCAAGATAGTGGTTGTGGATCTCAGAAGCTCGGTTGAAAGGACACAGAGAGAGCTTGTGACAGGCTTTTATCAGGAATGCAGCGACAGCGCGGGCAGAAAAGCCCTGTCTGGTACTGTGTTCTCAAGGAGCGTCCCGTAAGAAAACAGTGTTTCAGCTTTACATTACCAGAACTAGTCCCCTATGTCAGGACTCTCTCTCCCCACCCGTCAGCATTTACAGTAGTTCAAAGTCAGCTTTATATATAAAGTCCGAGTTGGAAAAGTGATAACTGGCTTTCTTTTGTAGCTGGTGTCAACAAGACAGGAGCATATGAGTCCATTTTACGCTGGCTTCTGTGTTCATCAGCAAGTACACTATAAAAGAGAACGAAGAAAGTATGTCAGAAACAAATATTTGCTCCCCACTCGTGAGAGTAACCCTAATAAGAAAACCACGGGTTCACCTTCAGAGCTTGTTAATGTCAGACCATGCTATTCTATTGCAAAAAGGCAGATTATTTTATTTTAGTTTATTCTAACAAGCAACTATTGTTTTCCCTTCTCCTAACAAGGTTTTATTTAATCATGCAGTCAGTCTCAGGTACAGCTGTTAATTCTATATTCTATTTATATCAATGGAATTTACCTTACATTATTGGTTGCAAAAAGTAAATAGTAATGTGCTGAGAACATGGAAAACAAAATATGGTTTCTGGCTTGCCAAATCTTCGTCACTGAGCATATTTTTCCTTATTGGTTGCCTGTAGTAAACAAAGTTAAGGGCTAAGCCATTTTATTAGTAACAATTCAGTATGGATGCACAAAAAAATTAATTGCTGCCTGCCCTTTTCAAAAGAGGACGTTGTTTTGCTGTAGCATGTCATATAAAGCATAAAAAAGAAACAAATTTTGGTTAGGAAAAATATATACTACAAAAACAAGTGGTTCTGTGACATCAAAAAGCAGAGTTCTTATATGGTTGTTTACTTACTGATAGAATTAGAAGCAACACTATGACTTCCTTATTTGTGGATAAATGTACTGAACAGTGCAAATATTGAGTGGAATTGAGTCTTAAAGTAGTATTGCTCTCTCCTAAAAATGTACAGAGTTGGGTAACTGAAACTAATTCTAACAAGCATACATGAAATTCAGGAATCAAGCTGGAAATCCTTGTTCAAGCGGAATTCCCATAAATATCCAGTGTGGAAATAGGTGTCAGCAAGCATTTAGCGAGTTTTAGTAATGCTTGTTACCATGAAGAAGCTGTTTCTAAATGCTTTGTACTCTGTGATGCACAGATTCATGGTTTTTTTTTTCTTTTCTTAAAATGCTAGGCAAGTGCAGGTCCTGCTGATGATTTAACTTTAACCTGAATTAGTGACAAAGCCTGTGGAATTCTCAAGAAGTTTTTAATTGGATCTGAAATTGAGAGGAATACACAACCAGAGCAGTCAAACATAACATATGTAGTAACAGTTGCTGGAAGTGCCGTGAGGATAATGGATTCCTACTGCCTTTCCCACACTATGGCATTGTGCTATGGTTTGGTTTTGGCAGCGGGTGATGCAGAGATTAGATATCACTCTGAATGCTGCCTGAAATTGCAGGCATCAAATTGTAATGACTGGTTCTTCTAATCCTCTTCCAAATACTAGAAAAAGTGTCAGATGCATTTATATTAAAACCAAACACTGTTTGGAAAATAGTAGAAAATATAGAGGGTGAATCCCTCTCTACCTGAAGTGAACTGCAAGATTTCATTTTACTTCAACACTGTGGTCACAAACCTGTAAAGATGATGTTCATTTGTTTCAGAACGGGCCACCCTAATAAAATGAAACAGTTGGGAATTACTAAGTGACAATTTATCCAATAGCTCCAAGGAGATTTGCTTTGTGAAAATATATGGACTGTTTCTCTCTGGATTAGTAAATCTTACACTTGTCTGTTCACCTCTTTTTTTTTTAACCTTTTCTCCCTCTTTAGAGCTAACAATTCCATCTCAGATAAGTGTGGTTCCCTTGAGAATGGTTCTAAAATGCTTTTGGAATTATACTATGACTTGAATAACTCTATTCTAGATCAGCACAAATTTGTCCTGTATTTTTCATTTGTTTTCTTTTTCAGTTTTTATGTAATGTTTGAAAATGCAAAAAAGAAAAAAAAAATCATCTGCTCTAGTTAAGCAGTAGACAGACAGGGTTTGGTTACTGAATACCATGGGTGATGTAGATTGCCCTCCTTGGACAACAGCATTTGTTTGCACAGGCTGATGCTCACACTCTGCAGATAACTCACTTCAACAGCACACAGTAGTGTACATTATGACTAATTCAGCTTGTAAGCACTTTTATTATGGTCTCTCCAGTATAGGAGGTTTTGGCTTTTTTTTCAGCATTAAGCCATACACAATTTTTAGATGATGTAGTCATACTAAGAGAAGATCAGCTGAAGGGAAGGGAATTTCCTAGTCTTTCAGCACTAACACCTTCAGTTTAACGCATAAAAGCCATTCAGTTTCTCACTTTTTTCCCTTTGTGAGGCATTCAGAAGATTACATATCTTACAATGAATCAAGCACTGTCTAGATCAAATATCCCCTGTGTTTTTTTAAGTTTTAGACTATTTTTCCATCTAATTACCTCAGAGCTGATTTTTTTCCTTCTCATCTGTGCCAGTAATAAAGGGCAGAGACGGTAAGTGAGATCAATATTGTTCTCCATTACAGAACTGCAGGTGGCACAGTGCTATACGGCAGATCAAACAAAATGCTAAAAGAGGGTCTGCAGTGGCCCTCCAGATCTCAGACACCTTGATGGGAAGGTTTGCCTGCACGTTGCACGGCCCTTACCTGATAATCCTTACTATTTAGAGATGCTGGTTGAATGCTGGTCCATGTAAACCAGTGCAAAACAAGCTGAGCACACGATGTGAACTATAAATGGAAGTTCTCTGAAGGAAGGGATGTGGGTTATGAGAAAATGTTACTGTCGGGGTGTGGGTGGCCCTTGTGCTGTTTCAGCAGGGGAGCTCGCCTTGCCAGCAGTGACGGGGCAGTGGTGAGCACAGTCCTGCCCTCTCCTGCCCTGGTTGAGGGTGACTGTGGCAGGCAGTTCCCTTCAGCGACAGACACACAGGGCAAAATTCTTGGTCTGACGGCTGTACAGTGCTTCGGTGAATCAGAGTTTCTTCCCAGGGTGATCCTAGGGCTGACTCTGTCCAGTCATAGTCTGGTCCGGTTGGAAGATTATCGTATCATCGAGGCCTCGACGAGCACACGTAGGTCAGAGCAAACTGCAGGAGATGAAGATGATGGTGAAGTATGATGCTGAAATACAGAACAACAGTGCAGTGGAGCTGTATTTTTACTCTGTGTAGACCAGTATCATGGTTAACCTGTGTAAATATTTCAGTATTTACTCATGTGGTAAAAGACTTTTATAATGGTAAGTAAATATATAGCATGATAGATTTAGCATGTGGGAGAGTTCATGGTGAGCTCTGCAAGAATATGAAGGTTAAGCGTTATCATTGTACACGCAAATAGCAGAAAGGGACTTCAGATTTTTTTAAAGTTAAAATGTGCATGAGGCATGCCGTTCAAATTAGCATGACAGTATACACGTAAGAATTTATTTGAAATTACTCTTTTTGAGAATGCTAACATATTCAGATCTCTTAGTCTATAGCTTGATGCCTCAGAAAATACCCACTTTTGTCCCAGTGGGTTTCTCACAGAACCAGGCCTTCCACACCATCATGCACCCAATTGTTAGAAGAAATATGCCATATCTTCTGTACCATGTACTGACCGTTGCTGTAGTGCTGCTTCTGTGGGCGATATGCAGAGACATTTCAGCTTCTGTTGAAATGTAATTAACAGGTAGATTTTAGCAGAATTTCCTTGAAGTTCTACAAGGTTTATAAATATTTCCCAATTTTTTCAGGTAATAAAACTAAAACCTAAATTGCAAATGATTCACTCAAAGCTTCAAACCAAGTGAGTACCCAAAGCAGAATTAAAATCTAGGATTTCTTGATCTCCTGCCTACTCCTGTGAACACTGAACAGTGCATTGTGTAAACTATCTTGAGCATATGTACGTGCCGTGTAATACCTGTTGCGCTAGTCTGTTGTTTCTGCATCTGTATTTTTGCAGATATATTGACACTGCCTAGTATATGGGGGGAAAAGTGATTTTCAGTAAGTTACTAAAGCATTTTTGAGCCTATACTGCTTTGTGTGTTCTTAGACAAGAAGGGAAACAGGGTTTCAGAGGTGATGCAGAGCAGAAGCTTGGAAAGTTGGAGATAAAGTTGTGCAAGGAGAAGGGAGATGCTTTCAGTTCCCTCCCACATTCTCTGTTTATATCTTTCCCTATTGCATTTGCTTTCTCATTCCTGCTTCCCCCTTGGCAGGTGTGGCGGCAGGAGGGCATTTGCCAGGTTCATGGTGTAAGATTCCCCACGGGTAGTCAGTGCTGCTGGCTTCCACGGAGCCACAGGGGCTTCCCAGAGCTGGTGGTCTAGAGCTTGGTCATCAAAGTTCTCAAGCAGAGCACTTTGAGGACTGCAAGCCAAAGCTTCTTTCTTCCTAGCAGTTTGCTGGAGATTTTACATCAGAAAGTGCGTTTAGGTCACATCAGCATAACTGAAAACAGTAGTTAGATCTGGGATTTTACTTTGGCCAGTATTCACAAAGACAAGCTGTGGGACATGAAATAAAGTCAGTAAGGTGAACCTGACAGAGACGTGTGTGGTGTGCAAAGAAACCCCAAGTGACAAGTTCATATGACTTTACCCTGTAGAATGTATAACGTGTATTACTTCCTTCCATGACTCGTATACAGTCGCACGTAGATAGGAACCCTGCAACCCTATTTTCGCTTTTAGTCTTAATACCTTTCAGCCTCGTCTTGCTGAAATACTAAAATTAAAAAACCACATCCTCACAGTCCCCCCTGGCCCTCATTCCAGCCTGGACAAATTCCTCTTTGCAGTAGTTACTGGCACTCGCCCACTGAACTGGAAAAGAAAAAGCTTTATGACAGAGCACTGATGGTGGGATCATGACTGCAGGACAATCCTCCTTCCTTTATTTTCAAGTTATGCTTATAGGGAATAACTCGTGGTAAGTGAAGCCATTCGGAGGATCTACAAATACAGAGCAGAAGAAGCTGGGTAACATACAGCATAGTAACATTGTGGTCTGTAGGGAATCTATCTAGACAGCATGCTAATTCAAATAATAACAACAGTTTAAATGATTAAACTAATCAGAATCTGATAGCACATCTGGGTGGGTGCAGGGGGCAGAGATGAGCATTCTACAGCTTTTCCCAGACAAGACAGAACTTGAATTACGAGCTCACGTCACAGCTCTGATAACAAGTAAACCTGAAAGCACTTGTCCACAGTCTCCTCCATGCTATGTTGCAAACAAAAAGTATCAGAGTATCTTGGAAGGCATGGAAGTTAAAGATGTGTTAGAATTTTATGAGCTCATTTTCACAGGTTATAAAACAGGAAGAGTAATTCAGCAATGTTTTTCTTCATTAATTTTATTATTAAAAGAGTTTTTAAAACAATTACAATAGTGCATTGTATAGGTGCTAAGAAGAAAACAACAGAGGCAAAGAAATTTGATGTCAGGTTTGCCTCTGAATTCACAGACTATAATGTGAGACAAACCTTGTTAATTGTGTATCTATCTGGAATAACTGCACTATCGAGTGGAAGTAATACAGAAACTGTGTACGATCTGACTCTGTAAAACTGACTTCTGGTAACACAAAGGACCTGAGAAGTACCCAGTGGATATCCATGAAAATGATTGGATTTGCATATCAGTTGCTTCAGTTTTCTAAATACATCTGTATTTTCCACCACAATTTTTGGAACTGTATGCCAACTACCCATGAAATATTTGATTACCCACCCCAAAAAAGGCCCAAGAAAGGAAATGTCATAAAAATATCATGGCTGTATATTCTTATTTTATTCTCCTCAGGGGCTTCCTGGAGCTTGAAAGGACTACCAAAGCCCACACTGCTATAGCTAAAATTACTTCTGCCTAATTATGATCCTTGTCTTGAATTTTTATGAACTTTTGCAGAATCTCAATTTCAGTCCCTAAAAAGCCATGCTAGTCTAAGCTAAATAACCACAGTCCTTGCTCAAGCAAAGCCCTCCTAGAAACAAGGCATCGCCTTTGTGCTTGAAGGATTCCTGTTAATAAGGAATAAGCCACAATCTGAATCATTACCACCAGAAAAAATGTGCAGAGCTGCCACTCAGAAATACCGAGGCTGGAGCAGTGGCCCTTATGAAATTCAAGAAGCACAAATGCAAAACCCTGCACCTGGAAGGGAAGAAGCCCGCTGCGGTGCAGGCTGGGGGCCGACGGCCAGGGGAGAGGCTCTGCTGGGGTCGGGCGGACAGCAGGCGGGCGGCGAGCCCCGGCGTGCCCCGGCAGCATCCTGGGCTGAGGCAGCTCAGCACAGCAGCCAGTGGAGGGAGGCGGTCACCCCTCTCTGCTCAGCTCTCCTGCTGGCCTCCCCCAGCACAAAGAAGACACCAGTGGACTGGAGCAAGTTCAGCAGAAGGCCACCAAGATGGTCATGGGACTGGAGAACTTGCACTGTGGGGAGAGGCTGTGGGACTTGGGCTTGCTGAGCCTGGAGGAGAGAAAGTAGGTGCCGGCTGAAAGAACCGAGATTCAGCCTGGGTGGAAGGAGATGCTTTCAGCTTGAGGGCACTCAAGCAGTGGAGCAGGCGGGCTGTTTGCAGCCACCAGCCTTCCAGGTTTTCAAGATTAGCCTGTATGAAGCCCCAAGTGCCCCCTTCTGACCCCATAGCTGACTCCAAGTAGCAGGTTTGACTAGAGACCTCCTGAAGTCTCTTCCAACCTGAGTTACCCTGTGATCCCAGAACAGAGATCGCTCTCAGCAGAGGTTTGTGTGACGTTCTCCTCACTCGAAGTGCCTTTTCTTGGTACTTCTCCACCTTACTTTGTGCCACTGCAGTCAGCCAGGTTTTTTTCCATTTTCTATGATGTCCCTAGGTACAAATCAGAAAAGTAATGCCAGGCATTGCTCTGTCTCTGGTGGCCGTGGTGGTGGCAAGAGCAACAAAGGTGGTGGTAACGTCATGCAGAATGAACCGGACTCTGTGGCTCCTCATAGGTCTGCAAGCCAGAGAGATGCCTCGTATCACAGCAGTGTTGGATACGTGCTCGGTTCCTGTGAGGGTCAAGAACTGCAGAAATTTGCCATAGCAGTGTCACTGCAGGCCTTAACGCTTGGTTGGACTCATGGTTCTTCAGGGGGCTGGAGTGAGGGAATGGAGAGGTAGACCTGTGAGAGGAACTGCATGGTGAAAGAGCACACACTGTGCGCTTTTTTCTGCAGCTGCTGAAGTCATAACCTAGTTACTTAAAAAAACACCTGTAAAAAGTGAAGATTTAATGCCTAGTCCTTCGATGCCCTACTCTGTTGAAACACGGGGAATGGCAATAAGAAGTGGGTTTGGCATTCTTGTGTGGTGGATTACAAATGGCACCAGGAATAAGGAAACGTGTTCTAATCACTGCATGGATGCTAATTCATTCAATGACACCAAGCCAATTTCTTCATCTCATTACATCACAGTTACTCCATTTTCGAAATAAGGTTGATGAATACCCAGCATTGTTAATTGCCTTGAGATCAGCAGTTATAAAATAATGACAGCAGAGGCAGATTCAGGATGACAAATGATCCACACATAGTTTCATGATCCTGGCCTATGGCAAAAGCTGTATGTTGCCATGATAGTTTATTCAGTAGCCTGTAGCAGTTGCTAAGTTAGCACTATAGATTGTGAAATAACTAATACTCAAAATTAAAAACTGTGGAAAGATTCATCAAGTTCACCACAAGACCTCTCTAAAGACTTCCTCAGTTTCTTGCTTGGAGAGCATTTTAAATTCATCAACATTGTTATTATTTTTATGTTGCCAATTCCCAGAGCCCTATTCAAGTTTTATGCATTGAAAAGAATAATTGTGTTATCCAAGTAGGTCTTCAAAAATTGACTTCTTCATTTGTTTGTTACTCAGTATGTATGGTCATTTTGTGGGTGTTAGGGTCAGGCCATAAATAAAAACTTGATTATCATGTGTTCATCACTCTCTTATCAAGGTACTATCTAGCTTAGCTTTTTGCCAGCACTTACAAAACATGATTCCATAGAAGCTTGTTCTCATGACATGAGAATGTTCATGAATAAGGCTTATTCATGGGAGCAAGACTGACAGGGCTGGGCCCAAAGGTAGCAAGTATGTTGAAGTTCTGTAGCTTTTGAAAAAAATAAGTAGGAAACTTTATCTCTGAGCATGGAAAACAGGTCCTGAACATATAATTGGTGGCAGCCTCTAGGAAGACAATCCTTTTCCAGGGAAACATGACCCAAATGGGTGTCAGAGCATGTTCACCAATCACCAACATTAACTTCAACTCTCACATGTGCTGTGCTTAAGGAAAGTCCAATGTTCTCGTACAAAACTGAAGGAGAATGGATGCATTCCTGATTCCAGGATCAAGACCAGGCCTTTAACACACTGTCCTGTGGCTTCGCATTCCTGTAAATGTGACAACGCAATCCTGACAGCGCCAGTGTTTCAGCCCCCCTTGGCTGTTGCCCATCGTGCCGCGACAGCCCCCTGCGCTGGGTGGCCGTACAGTGTGCTTGCAGCAGGACTGTCCCATTACCTGTTCCAGCATGGTGTCCGTACAGGCACACGCAGCAGCGCCTGCCGCAGGGCCACGCTCCGTGCCAGCCTCAGCTCGCCCGCTTGCTGCCCGTCGGAGCTGGGCGCAGCCTGGCCAGGCTCAGAGCTCACTGCAGGGCTGCTCCCACTCTAGGCGGGTTTTTTTGGTGCAGCAAGCTTGCTCACAGAGAGCAAAGGGGTGCAGGATGGAGCCTGATCCTCTGCCTATTGCCACAGTGAATAAAATCAAAAGGTATGTGTTACCGATGCCAAGCAATTCCCATCCTTAATGTAAACCTCTGCATGATGTGTTTGTTTCCTTAACCCAGGACATGCCTTTATAACCATAACTTTGTTTTGCACACATATGTATGCCTCTAAAATTGTCTAGTTCTATCTAAAAAACATCTGAAACCCATCAGAATGATATTCACTTTGGGGACAAGTACTTACACCTTGGACTAGACCAAATTTATAAGACTTAGGGGTATAGTGTAGCTTTCATCCAAAACTTAATTTTATTTTCAACTCTGTTGATGAATTTACGGTACTGATTTCAAAGTCATAGGGCATGTTAGCTGGATGGCTAAAATTTCTTCAGAAAGGGGATTGTGTATTTATAAGGATAACAGTAATATTCAGAGTGACATCAGTAAGAGTTATAAAAATAAACAAGAGTTTAGTTAAGGAATTAATACATTACCACACAGAATAACAAATGAGGAGTGGGAAAATACGATTCCTCTGTGGAGGTTTTGCATAGCTGGCTTCCACTGCTCTGCTTTCCTCTCCCTCGCTGATCAGCAGGGCTAGACACGAGTTCGTATACATCACTTGGGAGGGTGAGACTTATTTTGCACACCGGGTGGGCACACAGCGAGCAAACGTGGTCCCTCTTAAATACAGTATGCTTTTACTAGGGACTGTGAATGACTAGGGCAAAAACATAACAAAGACCAGGCATTTAAGGTTTTTTTGGAGTTATATACTGTGAGCTCGGCTGTGGGAAGACCAGTGTGCTTGTTCTCTGCTGCATTCTTACCTCGAGATTGCTTGTGCATGTGTGTTCCTTCCAGTTTGCTCTCCCAAGTGGTGCAGGCAAGCCCTCAGCTCCATCCTCCCACAGCAGGAACAATGCATCGTCACGTCTTGTGGTGACTTTGTAATATGAGAAACTGGCATGGGGATGAGATCATGCTTGTTCTGTCTTCTGACCTAAAGGAATGTAAACCCACTGACCTCATATTTATGCAGACGCTGGCAGATGCTCTTATTCACGCCACTTTGTAATTTGGCATTACACTTAGCCCTTACACTGCATCGTGCAGCGCAGAAATTAACAGCGAGTGGTTTTACGAGATGCCACCACTGCATCAAGAATAGAAGCAAGCTCCTCAGGGTGACCCTGACGTGAGAGGTGGCCCAAAGGTGGCTCGGCGTCCCTCATTCCCTGGGCAGGCCCATGAGAAGGGATCAGGAACAGAAAAACTGGCTACTGGGTTAGTTACTGCAGAGGACACCTCGGAGGAAAAGGTGTGATGGGCAGTGGAGTCTCTAGAGACCATCACCTGAACACACGAGGGCTGTGGGAAAATCCTCCTGAACCTCCGAGATGCCAGTCCTGTGCCTCCATGCAGCCCCCTGGGAGGTGCTGTACGACCTCCCTTTGGAACACACCCGTTCCTGGTGTGACTTCCACGTGGGGGGCTGCACTCAGCAGCCTCGGGAGGGTGCAAACTGCAGGCGCTGTCTTACCTGAACAGCCCTCTCTGTGCTCTACTGCAGCTTGGGTTGGCCCCAGGGGGAGTCTGGGGCATCCCAGTTGAACAGGGGTTCCTCCTGAAGAAGACACCGTAGCCTGCTGTTCTGCTTGGGCGAGGAGCGGGTTTCTGGAGAGCATCCGTCTCTGAGCAGGACATGGAAGGTACAGGCCATCTACACAAAAAAATGCTATCGCAGTTGAGGGTGGTAAGAAGCTGGTATTAACCTCTAACCATATATCCTCATTTTCTCCTCTAAAAGTGTGTGCTTGGGCAGCATAAACTGGACTTGAAAGGCAGAATTTAGACAAGCTTGACTTTAACTCTGGCTGTCTGCAGCACAGGGAGTTGAGAGAAGGGTGCTGAGCTCCTCAGGCACATTTAGGGTGGAGGTGTGCAGGTATAGGCTCCTCAGTGGCAATCACTTACAGTGTATAAGAAGATTAAGATCCCTGAGTAATCCTATTAATTAATATAATTAATTATATTAATTCTAATGTGCAGAGCCAAGAATGTGCCAAGGAGAGCTCCCTGCCACTGGTGCACGGGGGTGTTGTGGGATGGATAAAGCAGAGGAGGCACACGGGAAGGTCCCTCTTGTTGCACCACCTCCTGCCGGAGCGAAGAGCGGAGGAAGAGCCCTGGGCTGAGCCCACCTTGCAGGGCGCTGGGTGCTCCCCGCGGGCTGGGCTCGGCGGACAGGCTGGCTCAGGGGGGGTTGTCAGAGCTTGATGATGGTGTGCCCTCCAAATGTTCTTTTCCAGTTGGAACAGTATCTTGTTCTGGATTTCTTTAAATCAGTTTCCTTCCTCTGGTGAGGCTGGGTAAAAAGCTCTACAAGCAAATAAAAACAGAATTATAATATGTACACATTGTGCTTAGATATAAATTATTTATTAGTATTACTTTAGCTACAATAAATAACATAATCTCTTACATAATACAGAAAAATAAAATTTCTAAATTTACTATGGTATAGCTACAGGGAAGGAAAATTTGTTTCTGCTCCAGGAACAGATATTTTGTATTTCCATAAGAATCCACTTACTAACCCAGTTCAGTCCCTGCTGGCTGACTAGAGAAGTCTAGGGAGCGGAGAGGAGCAGAGATAATTAAATGTTTAAGGAAAAGCTCTGATGAGGATAATTTAGAAAGTAAGCAGCATAATAAAAGACCTGTCCATTATGACTACAGGTTATTATCCCAAACCAATCTCTCAACCCAAACGATTTTATTTTCAAATTCCTTTGAAACAATGAGAAAACATTACAAGGTCTGTCCGTTTGCACACTACCGATTCATGAAAGGTACTGCTGCATCTTCAGGGGCTGTTTGTGCTGTGCCCTAACTTATCCAGCTTCCCTTTGCTTTCAGAAGCTGTAACAAGATGGCTCATGGTTCAAATCTGTGTTAGGCTGTAGCAGTGAGAAAAAAACAAACAACTGTCCTTGCATTTGACATTTTAAGCACTTTTTAACGATGCTGAATATCCAGACAAACCAACATTACTTTGAAAGCTACTGTGGAAAATCAGTGAGAATATGGCCAGAGTCAATTATAAACAAAATAAACAAAACTGGCATTTTCTAAATATTCCTTTAAGGTCTGACCATTTGCTCTGCATCACATGCATTTCAAAGGACTTATAGATGTACTACAGAGAGTATATCTGTATATATAGCAGAATTAAAAAATAGGTCATAGTTACCTGCAAAAATAGCACTTCTCCTTTAAAACTGGGTAGCTAAGAGTCATTATACCAGAGTTATTGACACCAGCGAGGAGAGCTGTGGGAGCAGAGCGATGTGAAATCGGGTCCAATTTTTGTTTGCTTATTCTAGCATAGATCCTCCTTAGAAAAGAAACAAAAAGGCTCTTTATTCCTGCAAAACTTGTGGCATTATCCTCTGTAACCTTCCCGAGGGTGGGGAGTTAATACCAGAACCTTTGCACAGCTGCTCCCAGGCTGGCTGCCCTGGGCCGCTCTCCCGAGGAGCTGGCGCAAACCCCGACACTCCTTAACATGGCACCGAGTTACACCCCCCCAAAACGCAAAGGGTTATTACTGCCGGAATGAATCCTCTTCCTTGGAAAGAGCGGCATGGAATTTAGGGGGGAAATTAAAAGGTTTGGTCATGTTCCCAGTGAAGCTACTTGAAATGCGTAAGACTGAATTATCTAGGGAGTATGACAAAAGTCTGACAAAACCTGGCAGTTTTAATTAATAGCCTCTATTCAGCTGTCAGAACCCAGTGGGTCTACTGAAGAGACAGGGAGATGACAGATCAGCCTCTCCTAACATCCTGTGTAGATGCCTTTAAGGTAATAAAATAGATGTTTAAAAACATGTACTGCACAAATCTTCAAGTCTTTCACAGATGCCCAGATGCACAGATTTGTATCTCAATTACGGATTCCCTCGAACAAGACACTCAATTTAACTCCCTAAAACAAGTCAAACCTGACACAAAAATGATTAAGTATTGAACAAAAAGGTATCATCATGACCATCTGTGAATAAAAAGACGGGGGGAGTTTCACCATTGCAAAAACAAACTTCACAGTTGTAAAGTCTAATGTGTGGTGGTTTTTTTTAATTAGCCGGATGAATAACAGATTACAGAATTCCTAGAATGACTGCTTAACATGGTTGTGGGTGCTGTTGTTTTGTTTTGCAGTGACAGAGATTGCCGCAGGAGGAAAATGTGGAATCCCAGCCTAAAATCTCACATTGCAGAGGTCACATCTTCAGCCTCACGTTGTGCCAGCACTGGCCGCCTGCGAGGGAGCGTCATGGAAATGCTGGCAGTCGCCGGCCGACGCACAACAGCCGCTCTCACCAGCTGCAGGTATCACAACAGGGGCTTCTGCCTGGTCTTTCCTGCCGGGGAGCGCTCAGCTGCTCCGCAGAGCTCCCTGTTACAGGAACACACTACTTCTTGTGAGACACATGGAGTGTCATGTACAGGATAACGGTTATGTCTGACCAGACTCAATCTCACGGCATTACCATTAGCTCAAGGTGCAGCAAAATTACTGTGGGTATGTTCCTGCTTCATAATGGCGTGGTGCACAGTGGGGCTGCACCCATGAGCAGCGCTGGGCCACGGGGGGGGGGCTCCGAGCTGCCTGTACTCGTCAGAGCATCCTTACTGCTGTGGAGACAGTCGCTTTAATGTTAGAGCCCTTAAAAGAGCTTTTCTGTGTGGGAGAAAGCGGATCAGTGAAGATCCTCAGGCCAGCGTGGGGATCCCTCACTCCAGGAAGAGGCCGTTCGGGAAACAGCCTCCACCCGTCTTCTGCAGGCTGTGGAGGAAAGTTTATCTGTGTGTCCTGCCTGTGTATGGAGTGACCCAAGCCTGTTTGTGGGTAAACATGGCAGAGAGGGCACTTCCAGTTTAAAGGAGGTAAGGCCAGCACAGAAGGCTGAGGCAGCAGGGCCCAGCTTTAGCTTGCAGCTGAAAAGGTCTGGTCTGCACTGCTGGCACACAGGGACAGTGGCTGTGCATGACTTGAACCACAGCTGAGTAATCAGCCAGTGGTAAAAGCACACTCTCGGCAGCAGAGAGAAAGCAAGAAAGTGAAAAGTGACAGAAATAGGCCTTCAGGTGTGGGGTTCAGTCTCTGTATCATCCCTGCAAGTGAATTCATACCCCCTCAGCCCATCAGTTTTCTTTCGTCTGCAGAGCTGTGTTGAGATCCCCAGGGTAATACAGGGTCTCCCTGTGCACACCCCTGCCCTGCATGAACATCTCTTGTGTTGCTGCTGGGAGATTTTGGGGGCTGTGAGCCTATGACAAAAAATAGGTGGATCTGGTTTCCCTAGTCATCGTGTCTAGCATTGCACATGCCATGATGATGAAGCACTGTAAATCATGAGTCTGCTCACATTCACTGATAAACCGGTCATGCAAAAGGCTCTTCGGAGTAGGAATTCAGCAGAATGCATTTTACATCTGTCAGAAATAATTCAAGGGTGTGGAGTGACTCATTGGGAACTGCATGAATAATCAAGACTTCATTTTCAGTAAGACAAAGCCATGAACTTTTGTCTGGCACATCAGTGGGGAACATGTTCCCTGCATGAGGGACTGTGTTCTGGGGACTGATGCTAGCAAAAATACCAGAAGGAGGGATTTTTTTTTCACTGAAAACAGACTGGCCACTTTTAAAGTGCAGTTTTGTGTATGCAAATATAGCATGGATGTAAGACTGCAAAGCTCATAGTAGAAAATAAAACTGAGAAAGCAGGTAAGCCTTGCACTGATGTGTGGTCAGAAAAGTTTCTGCTGTCATCAGACAAGTGACATCACACCTCAAGGTGTGCCAGGTTCCGAAATCGATACAGTATTGCAGTGAACCAGCAGAAAAAATCCACAGCCTCAAAGCAGGCCGGGGCTGGGATCATTCCCAGAGAAAAGCCCTTCCCACGGCCAGGTCCTTCTTCACTCGGGCAGGGCGGCAGAGAGGCCCTGCTCAGGACCACAACATGCCCCAGGATGGCGCCGCCGCTGTCTCCGTCCCTCCTCCCCGGCATCTCTCCTGAAGGAAGCGCTTTTGTGATGGGCCTGAAGTGAATCTGTCAGTAACGTCCTATTTATCATCAATAAGGTCTCAAAATATATAGACCTTAACCTGCCGTGGCCCTTGTATCTAATGCTCAGCAGGACCTGCATGTGCAGAAAGGCAGCTGGAAGAAAACAAGGGTAATTGGAGGGACTTCCTTCCCTCCAGAGCCCGAGGACACCTTCTCTACAGCACAAATCTAACAAACACTTCTTCAGATATCGTTTCTTAGATTTTTTTTTTTCCAGAACAGAATACCATTTTAATTATAATGCAGTAACATGTTAGGTAAACAGCTAATAAGTCTTATTAATGGACAGAATGAATAGTTTTGAGAAGCGGTGATGCCAGGTAAACCTTAAAAAATAAAAGATTAAATTAAAAATCAAGGCATCGAATTTGAGACTAGAACAGAAAAATGGGAAACTGTACAGTCTAAGCTAAGTGTTTTAATATTAGTCAAGGACTCGGATTTTTCCCTTGCCCCAGTAAGAAGCAGATTTGTGTTTCAGAGGAGTGATAGATTAACTCTTTCCTTTGCCCTTGGCCAAGGCTGGGAAGTTGCCAACCACTGCTGGTTCCCACTTGCTGTATGAAAATGAAGAGCTTGATTTTTCTCTAGACTGCAAATCAAGCAACAATAGGAGTTGTGCCGATCTGAGGTTTAGATTTGCTGCGCTGAGTAAGAACAAGAAGGGGGGAAGGTGGGATCATTTTTCGGCTGGCCTGTGCCAAGGCCCAGAGCCCAGGTACCCTCGGGGTCAGGTGCTGTGACCCAGCTTGTTCCATCAGGGCTACCAGGTACCGCATCCCCTGGAAGGCAGAGCTGTTTGTCAGACACCCTGAGAACTGGAGATACCAACAGCACGTGGGAATGGGAGCCTTGGTAAGCGTAACACATGGTAGGAAAAACTTTATAAGCTGAGAAGAGATTGGGGGAAAGGTTGGAGGTTCCAGTCAGTGCTCGGAGAACAGAGCGACATGCATTGAGCGACAGGCATTAGCTGGTGTGTAGTAAGGGCCAGAGGTTGTCACTACAGGTCAGGTGTTTCCAGCACTTACTTTCTTTATGTAAATTGTAAAATACTTCCAAAAAGTATTGGTTAGGTGACAGGATAATCTGCCCTTGACCTGTTCTTGCAAGGACAGGGCTAAATTCACCATGACCACAGTTTACAGCACTTCAAGGACGAGGTGATCCCACATGAATAAGAGACAGTGAAGGGGCGCCCGAGCGCGCGGGCCGCTGAGGCAGGCATCGCTGGGAG